TGAATAAAGTGAAGTTTTTGACTTTTAAAAGGTTTAAAAATATTTTTCAAACCTTGAACGAACATGTTTACTATTGTTGGAAAAAATGTTACATTGCATAAATATGGTGTTACCTTTGACCTGAAAATTTCGATTTTAATGTAATTTGGGCCGGCATTACGAATTTGGCCTGAATTAAGAAAATTTCGGCCAGAATTAAGATCCGAAAATTGTCGATTTTAGCCATTTGTACCAACTTTGTCCAACCTTAAGTTTACATATATACTATATGCCATATAGCCATACTGTCCCAATAATTTATATTGAGATATCATAGTACAAAAAATCTCCCTCTAATTTTTGGGGACATTTCCACTGACTGTTATACTATTATTTATTTATTTATAATTATATTATTATACTATTATTTATTTATTATATTTAAATTATGGGTTTAATTTTTATATGCCCTCGCATTGACGTAATTTAATAAGTTTGATAGCTGATCAAATATTTATAAATTTTTAAAAACTATATATACTAATGGACAATAAAGTGTTAATTTTATTATTATGAGTTCTTTATTTACACACTAAACGCTAAAACTTTTTTTTAAACAGATAGTAAGTATTAATGAAGTCATTATAAATTCTCCTTTTACATACTAATCACTAATACTTCAGTTTGTTTTTCAATTTCTTGTGAACATATTTCTGGATTTAATAAGTATTAGTAGTAGTATGCGAATATGCATTTCTTTTTATATATTTAATGTTAACATACTTTTATGAGCAGACTTTTGAACCTAATAAATATTAGTGATTATCATATGTTTTCTTTTACATATTTTTTTGTAAACTAAAAAGGTAAGCAGAAAATTTTTATGAGCTGTTTTTAACTATTTTTTATGGATAAACAGTGATCTTTCTTCTATAAAATATTATGCAATTCTTGGGTTTGTATCTTTAATATGGTAAGGGTTCTGCAATAATAAATTTTTATCATCTATCATAATTATAATCCTTAGATCTAATAAGTGTTGGTAAAATGTTATGCATTTTTTTTTATATATCATCTTTTTATCTAGACAAATATAACATGCATCTGTAATATAAATAAAAAATCAGATGTAACTAATTAGATACAATTATCTAAAAAAAAACTTTTGGTGTATTTTTATGCTTTCTTTTTTAAAACTTTAATAAACAATAAAAACTAATATAAAAAAAGGTTTATAAAAGATTGATTTATTTATTTTTATATACATTTATCAAAAGACTAGCAACTAAATATAAAATTACTAAGTTATTGTTAATTTTATGTACACGTGCTTAAATAATGTCTGGCTTGTTTACAAATTTTCAATGCCGTTAACTTTTGTTAGATTTTAGAGGCTCTGTAGCACTTTTAATTTTTATTGTTCCTTTTAGTCAACCTTTTTTTGGTTTCTTAATTGGATTTTAAAGCTGCAAATTATTTTCATTAGTTTCATCATTGGTATTTATTTCACTATTAAGCTCATCTTCAAAATCATTAAGTTTATCAAAATAGCGTTGAAAAATCTTAAAAATTCATTCATCCCATTTTTTGACCGCCTTAAGAGTAACTTTTTTAGCCATTTCCATCACCTTTTCAAAAAAAAGTTTTTCATCTAATGTAGATTTACTTATCTGCTTTCATTTATTAACATTATTTTGTATTAAAGCCGTTAAATAAAAAATTTCTTGACTTATTTCTGGTTGCTTTAACAATTCAGTATTTTAAAATTTAACTGCAAATATAAAAGATTCATGTTTTCCATCCAAGTCTCAGTTTTTATACCAACTTGGTCCAACAAGTTGAATGTAAAATATTGCTGTATATATATACATTATAAGTTTGCAAATAATTCCTCTTATAACTATTACTAGTTATGAACATAAATAGGTTAAATTGTTCATTAAAAAGATAAAATGTTTGAATTTTTGAGTATTTTGAACTGAAATATCTTAAATTTCTTTAATTTCTCTTTAGTTAATATGATAAAAAATTGATTTGATACATACTTTATGCTTATCTAGTAAATATTCCAAAAAACCTGTATCAATCACTTGGGTTTTTTATTAATTTAAAACTATAGTAATATATGAGATATATGTGGTAAAAAGGTATGAAACTCCAAAAAAAATTTAATTTTACTTTATATGCTAATTATGCTTTTTTTACTGAAATAAATGCAAATTTAATATTACCATATAATACTGCCTAAAATACTCCAGGTATATCAATTTCACTAACTTAAAAATTGAATTATACCTAGGAGTATCTTGTATAGAATATGGAAAAATTAGCCAGAATTAGCCGAATTTTTACCAGAATTAAGATTTTTTAACCACATATCATACTCAGGTATATTATAGTGGCAGAGTACGCAGATAGGGAGGTTAGTTTTCAAAAATTTCAGAATATTCATTATTTGCCGAATTGTAATTATCATTAATGTCAGTATTAGATTCGGTAGCTTCTGATTATTCGAAATCGTTAATGAAAAGTTCAGTGAAAGTTGTTGAAAGTTTAGTATATCTTGATACATGTTCCTGAGGTAAATAATTGAAATCAGAATCGTCGGTTTCTTGATCTTAGACAGTGTTATACGGTAATTCAATTTTTGATATTTTTTGAGTTTCATACTTTTTTATTGCAAAGTTACTAAATAAAGTTTACCTACAGAGTCAAACGATCACTCGACAGTGTATATGTGAGATACTACCAGTATGACGAGTGGTTTGTAGTTTAATTATATTAGAGTAGTTATTAGGGAATTTTACTTTGTATATATTTTCTTTAGGATAAATCTAATTGTAACAGCCTGTTACGCGTCTTATTTGTAACAACCCCCAATTTTATCCAATTAAAATTTAAGATCAGGCGAAATGTAAACAAAAACAAAAAGATCAGTCGTGTAACCAAGATAAAAGAATTTTTTAAAAAATTTCAAGAAACTGCTTATAACTTGAAATTTTGTCTATGAAACTGTCTTAAGTACATTAAGTAAAAGTTTTCCAAATTAAATTTTGCATATAAAAATTTTATTTGTAAACTACATACTAAATTTATTATTAAAAAAAAATAAAAAAAGGATGTTACAAATAAGATATGTAAAGCTGTTACAAAT